CCTCCAAAAAAAAAACTGAGGTAAAAGAAAAACGGTAACCTGGTTGCAGAGTTCACGAAGTGAATTGGGTTGTTTTACAACGTCGTTGCCAAGCGACGAAACCCCAACCCCGATGGCAAACCCGGGGGGGGTGAGGGGGGGGGGGGCTGGATTGCGCCGTAAGCAGGGAAAAACGTGCAATACCGCTGTCGTGGAAACAAACTGTTTCCAGCACTCTTACGTATGAGTGAAGGGGGGCAGGGGCAGGGGAGTTCCATCACAAAGAGAATGCTATACACCAAATACGACGAAGAGTCAAAGTACTACGGACGCGTTCCTTGCAACCTTGCGTGTGTTCTCCCGACCATGGCGTAGTTTGCCGCTCCCAACGGTTCAGAGCGTTTTCTGGAAGTTATTCCACCCGGGGCGACATACATATTCGAGGGGGGGAGAGCGTTCTCCCATCTTGCCGTATTCGGGTTGTGGTTTTTGTCTTTGCAACCAAAACCGTGCCGGTCTCGGCTTAGTACCTTCTAAATTTCCGAACTGGTCCAAACAGTAGGTTTTCGACAACGTACCGAGCCCCCTCTGACAAACGAGAGCCCCTAAACAAGTCTACCAGGGTGATGTGCAGTTCAGAAAGCGGGCGCACCCAAGTGGCATTCAACCACACGCACACACACGCACACACCTCCCCCATGACGCCCCCTCACGGGGTCCCAGATCATGCCTTTTACAAGCAAAATCTGTTTTCTGCCGCATTGAGACTGGCGTATTTTGATTGGTCAGCCGGTTAGCGCGGTCGATGCTAATAGTAAAGACACACACACACGGGAAGAGACTGCTGCAGTATTTGATGGATACTACCTGCGAGACATCGATGCCTATCCCTCGACACCCGAGAACCTTCGCCATGGTCACCAGCACGCGCCCGTCCCCGCACCCCACGTCCAACACCACATCATCTGCCGATAGATCTTCACGATCGACGAAAGGGGGCAAGGCAAGCAAATCGGGCACATGAATTTCCCGCACCAAGAGGATGGCACGAATCAGGGCATAGACCCGACTGAGGATCTCGGATCCTACCGGCGAAACACATACGACCTCTGACCTGAGCGTGATCACATACCAGTTGTACAGGTGGATGATTTTCTGAACAACTTTCCCTTGCAGAATTACTGATTTTAGTCTCCGGGATCGATACGAACGCGATGCTGTATCGTCAGTGCTTAGATACCTGGCTTTGAACGACTCGGCTGGCTCAAGAACTCCACGCATTCATCGTGTCATAGGTCCATTTCACCGGCAACAGCAGTAGGTACAACGTCGTCATCGTGGTCATCATGTGCTGGCGCTGTTCACCACTGACCAACGGGTCACTTCGAGTAACAAAACCTCGAGTGCAGGCGCTAATCGTGCGTCCGTTACCTGCTATTTGCACGAAGGAGCACATCGCTTCCGGGGATGAAGGCAGGAAGGGGCTGAGCCATGGCGCGCCCTCTAGCTAAAATCGACGTGGATACGGGCGCGGGAGGCGGGGGACAGGAACGGAATATTACAGTCAGAAATGGCGCCGTTGTCTGCGCTTTAACTAGAAAATAGAGTACCCCGATTTTTTTTTCTTCTGCCGAACGCACAGTCACGCTCAACCGCCAAGATGGACGCCGAAACACGTCCCAAATGCTGTCATAGACGCGCAGTAGACGTTGGTCGTACTTCCAGGCCCACGGAAAGCCAATTAAGGGCTACTGTAACACAGCAGTCCGCCACAGAGCAACCCGGTTTTTCCTTTTCGCTACCCCCGAATTGTTACGTTTCCTGTCACACACACACGTGATCTCATGCGCGACTTCCAAGAAAACGCCGACACACGTCGCAAACCAATCACAGCATCCACCACAGACGCGCAGTACACTGGCAGACCTACCGCAAGCGAATTAGGGTGGGCGCAGCCGCGGTTCACGCACGTATCTACGGGACGATTGATACCACCGCAGTACGCCACAGCTGCAGCAGCAGCGGTTTTTCCTTTTCGCGCAATGACATCTACGGTCAGTAGAACACGGTTCACGACGATGGCTTCATTTCGATTTTTTTTTTTTTTTTTTTTCTTAATATTTTCGATTTTTCAATTTTCCTGTCATTCATGAACAACCCTTCTTCCTCAAACCACATTGTACCACATCGCCTCCCAACGATTCCCGTCATACGTCAACAATCACTCCAGTCTGTCCCCTCCATTTCTTTTCTCCTGCACCTTCTCCATCACCTTATCGGGGGGGCGATACTTCGCCCAATTCTGTGAACGAACACAACGAAAACCCAAACATCTGATTGGCTCATAGCAGCAGTCCCCGCGTGCAAGGTTGTTGCGTGAGGTGTTGTGTGTATTGATTGTAGTATCAAGAGATCAAGAGATGGGAAGGCTCGTACTCTAGTGATGGGCTACTCGCCAGGAATCCTTCAATACACACACCCTCCAGGAGCTGCACGTTACGGCACTTTGAAGACGTGGTCAACACACGAGCACCTCGGTCAGGGACAACAACGGCGGTGATGCGGCGCAATAACGCAATCTTCGAGGGAGACAAAGTGTAGCTTGTGTAGCTCGTTCGCAGCACTCGCGTGTGTGTCCCGCAGTACTAATTATTAAGGAATAATAAAAACACACACAGAAAGACTACCCATTCGACATATACCCACAGTCGAACGGGATGTGGTGGAGTCTTTTCAGTGAGTGGAGGGAAACCGGCTGGGTACTGGACTTATTTCGAGTCTTTTAAGTCTATGCACTGATGATTTATACCAGTGATGCCAGCTGGTGAACAGTACAAAAACATCTGTACAGGTAACTTACATTTTACATTACATCCCCCGCAGTTCTCTACTGGGGTCAACGACAAAATATCGGGGAGAATCCCTCCGTTGTGTAGTAAAGTTCGTATCTTTACATCGGAGAAGCGGTGGGGATGAGTTTCAAAACATGCGTAGGTGTGATAGTAGATCGTGCAATAGTAGAGCGTGTGCACCCTACATGCCGTAAGCACTCCTGTGCGGAGAATCCACCCGGCCCACCTCTCTTTCGATCGCTTCATCCAAGTGATCCTCCTCGAGTGCCTGGCAACCGGCACCGTACTTATCTCGCAAGGAAAGCGCAAAGGTTTTCACCAAGCTGAGGCACGGCCGTGGCGATTGGACATCTCCCTGCCCCCTCACGTCGCCCATGCCTGCTCTCATGGGTATTACCAAGCCGCAGGGTGGCAGGAGAGAGAGCGGGACGGACAGAAAAAAAAAAAAAGCGGCGCGACCTGTGTCCGCCAGTCCGCCACATTACATGTGTGCATGTCATGTGCGCAACCGGTAACCGGTATTTCCCGGATCCCTAAAAAGGGAGCTACCGCGAAAGGCCGATGGCACCGGTCGGGGGAGATGGCACCGGGGTGCGAAAAAAAGCAAACAAGGACGGCATGGTTTCCGCACCGGGGTCGGTGAGATCGCACCCGACCCCCAATCCAGCATTGATTGACCCCCTTTTTCTTGATTGACCCCCTTTTTCTTGATTGACCCCCTTTTTCTTGGATCAGAGGTATTGGTATGTATTCTTTACATCAGAGTACGGTTTACGTTTTACATGTGGGGACGACGTCAGTGGAGCGCCACTCCTTCATGTATGTACGTACGGTCGCGGTTCACGCGGGATGCCAGTTGGTTTCGTTTTATTCGTTGGACGTTTACCAAGCACACAACATACGAGCGGCAACCTACCCCACCACACACACCGAATGCTGCTGCTACGTAGTGGTACTCGCAGATGAAAACCGAAAGGAAAGTGGGCGACAACTTCATGATGCCGTATATAATGTACCGGTACTCCAGATGAAAACCACATCTTCTGTTGTCCTTGTCACGCCATATCCATACTCGCATTCAAACCCGTGACCACGCGCTGCACAGCAGTATAATATGGAAAGCTCTGCTACGCTGTTACTGTACGTACTAGCCTAAAGTTGCCGTTACCGATGTGCTTCCAGCGAGGAACAACGGTACACACACCGCCTCTTGCTTGTAGATACACTGGCGGGTAGATGGCACCGGGGTGCGTGCATACAACACAGCCGAGCACCAGTAGGCCCGTGTGTTTAGTTCATTGGGCATCGCACCGGTCGGAGAGATCGCACCGGGGTGTAAAAAAACAAACCGAGAGAACACATAAAAAAAACAACGATCGCGCACCCGTCAGGGGCTCTCCACCTCACAGAAAGATGGAGGCAAGAAACATACAGCAGTGCTGGACAATCGCAACACTCGGTCCGAGTTGCGGCCCCCGCACCAATCGTCAAAGCCGGTGCCGGCGCGGAGACCGGTGACGCCGTTACCGACTCCGCTGAAGGTGTTCTCCGATGACGGCTAAACAAGAACTGCCCGGAAGTAACACTCTCTGTCTGGTTGGTGATCGTCCCCGCGCACATAGCAGCAATTCAACGTGTTGGTCTCTCCCAGAGTAAAGAAATATATCCGAACAGCTTGACCCGCACGACGCATCTCCCCTAACCAACCCCCAAACCAAGCTTGGTAGTAGTACCGAAAAGTGTGGGAGGTAGAACTCAGCGAACATATATAACAGGCACCACTTCAACAAACGATGGAAATGCAGAAAAATACACCACCAATCTTTAGTCGGTGGCCGTGTGTGGTGTTCAAGCAACACTCGGCGGAGGCGCCTCTCACGGCCACCACCCCGCCATCCGTTGCCCACCCCACCCCGAGTACCCCGCCTCCCCAGTATCCTGAAACGTGTGCCTTTGGATTTTCCGACCCTCTCGATTGTTGCTCCAACCATTCGGTCTAAACGGAGGCTGCTCGTAAAGAGGACAGAGGCACGGGTACTCCGATGCACGCCCCACTCTAGGGTGTGCCCTCTTCGTTGTTTTTGGGCGTCCCTCTGTCACAATGGGATCGTCAGCTTGTCTGCAAAGTCTGCGGCACCCATGATCTGAATGTCCGCCGGGGGATGGAGGCCAGAATAGCATTGTTTGACAGTTTGGCAGGGAATAGGACAGGAACGGGAATTGAGAGGGGGAAAGACTACCTTATTTCGTTGTTCGTGACACATGGGGGGTGCTCAGATACTTCACCAGATCTCTTGAGGCGTGGCCGTGTCTGAAGATCAGACCTTTCTCAAACAAAATTGGCCCAAACGGTAAACTACCTTGATGAAGTCACCGAGCGACAACGACGTGACTCCTGGCGCAGACGCACCCTCCTCGATGACTCTCGCAGCGACGGCGTTCTGGATGGTCGGGTGGTGGTATGTGTATGACAGGGAGGGGAGAGGGGGGATTGTTGGGGGAAAAGTTCCTCAAGTGAACTCCTTGTCATCCTCCAATCCAGATGATTCCCATGCACAACAAAATGGTCAGTTCCTTGTGGTGGTTGCCTTCCATGAAAACGAGACCGTCTACAACACGCGCGTGGTCGGAAACGAGCGATTTTCTCGTCAATATCACGGGCAACTCCACACACGCAAATCCTTCGTCTTCGTGCTCCCGAAGTGGAGATGGCGTTGCCTGGTCGTAAACACGGCGTCTTTCTTGTCGAATACAATATTTTTATTGCCGTCTGTCATGCAATCTGGTCTCCATCTTCTGTAATCAGCCAGCTTCCAGTGAGCGCAGTCACTGCACGAGGCCTGTGATACCCTTACCTAAGCCCTAATATCTGGATGAACACCGCCCATCTCAGTATTGATGTAATGCTGAACCAGGTGTCGAACCGGTATATTCCCACCAAAAGCAGATTCACAACCTCGTTATGGCCCATTCAAACTGTGCTTCCCTTCACGCGACACTAACTCTAATATGCTGGACTTATCTAACATGTTGGACTCATTGGCTCCTGCTTGTGCACCCGACCACTTTACCCCGAGCAAGCAATTGCAAGGTCAAACGTGAGTCGGTTTGAGTGGTCTCAACCACTCACCAGGTCTATCTTCACACCCTCCGGCGCGGCCGTGATCAGCTCGAGGTATCGCACGAGATCATTCTTTGACACCTGGCCGTCGCCGTCGATATCGACAAGCGTAAAGGCCACTTCGCAGTAGTCATCAAGATGAAGCAAGAACGCGCCACTTTTCGTTGTTAAGGAAGGGCAGGGGGTAGCTCGAGCTCTGTGGGTAGTGTCTCGAGGATCGACTACGTACAGCAGTAGATTGCCGAGGGGAGAAGTGCGTTTTCCGTGCCAAGATCTGGCCGTCCGCATGCGTGCTCGAACCTACACCACAAATCTTCAAGATGACTCTCTTTCTTTTCGCACCACACCGTGTGAACCGGTGTCGTTTCCAAGACGAGGCAAACTACTGTGGACTGTGTGTTTTTTAACATCCACGTGTGGGGCACGTGGAGGGCGCGGAACGTACTGGTTAAGCTTCTAAAGCAGATGCCGAGATATGTACTGCAGAGTCTCGAACGGTTTTCTTTCAGCCCGGAAATGGGCTGGCGCGACGTTGGAGGAAGTTCGTCACAACCGCAGGCCACAAGGCCCCACAAAAAGAGTTTCGAGCCTATGGTCAGGAAAACACATTTGGGGCGAAACATAAGAAATCGTAGTCAACTTGTCGTAGTTCTTGACCGTAGCGGTAGAGGCGTAGCTAGTGATGTACGATTTCCTCGAAGGATCTATACATACGTACAAACTACGAGACTTAGAAGATATTTCAGCTACACACGGGGGGGTGCCAAATTTCGATCCAGGGAGCCTCCACCGGCTGCCCCCAACGATAGAGACGCCCTCTCGATACACTCACTTCTCAGCTTCTGATCCCTCTGGGCGCTCGGATTGTTGAAGCTGCGAAAGGACCGCACAAACGAGCAGGAATAACAGTTTAAGCCGGGCTGGTTTAAGAACACTTGAAGGACTGCGAGGGGGGTTGTCGGGGGTGGGACTCAAAGCTCGCCGATAATCTTCTTCCAGATATCCTGATTGGCATTTTGCAAGAAACAAGATCGGTTCTCCAAGCTGTCGGGCTGACATGGGCTGACGATTTTTTCACGTGAGTACGCCGTGCACCCGTGACACAAGCAAGGGCCTAGGCGAAAGCTCGAGAATCAGCGAAACGCTACTCCAGTGCTGTACATAGTGTTCAAAGGCGTGAAACCCTCACATTGATAGGATCTCCACGAACTCCTGCGATGTCCCGAACGGGTTCACGACGAACAGCGGCAGATACACGTGGAAAGGGCCAGAGGAGGGGGTGTTATCGTAGACCAGAGGCAAGAGGCTTGGCCGAGATATGAGCCAGCCAAGGCACGGGATGTTTGTTGTTTCTGACAGTAAGCGATGCTTGAGGCTCAGGACCGAAAAAGCGAAAAAAAACTTTTTCCTCTCCGGAACGGTGAGGTATGCTCCGTATTCAGAAGCGGTGTTGGGTGACTAGGGTGCTTTCGAGGAACATAACCTGTCTACACGTGAGGCGGATACCGCTTGAAGACGCCGTGGGACCAGGTTTCTCTACATCTAGAGCGTGTGCATGATGTTCGAAAAGTGCGTATAGTACCCTCGTTTTCCATGAAATTGCTGGTTGAGTTCCCGAGGACATAGCTTGCGCGAACGAGATGAACGTCATCAGAGCTCACCTTGAACTTCAAGTTGTCCATCGAATCGAAACCGAAGCAAACGAGCAGACGCTCTCTCAGCGGGTTGTTTGCCACGGCTATGATAGGAGCAGGGAAAAGGAAAAAGGGATTTCGCGAGAGTAAGTCGCCCATGGCACCGGCCTATGTACCTGTCATGGTAACGAGTTGGCTGTTTCAAGTTCGTCAAGAGAAGTAATTGGAAAACTCTGTTCGTTCCAGCGCTCGATCGTGGCCGAATGGTTGGCTCACATGGTATCTCGAGGAATTCCTCCCTGGTGATAAAGCTTGCCTCGTTCACCAGAGCAAGGAAGTGAGACCGGGTGAGTCGTAGCTCCTTGTACGTGACTGCGGCCACGATTGTACGTCCACCAAGAAATGCAATAATCGTTAGGAAACCACTTACGACGGCGTTTCACGCGGGTGCAGTGCGGGCAAACTTCCTTCTGCCAGGCGACGTGACCCTCGTGCAAGACCAACAGCAAGTGGCGGAGGATGCCAGCAGGAATGCCGAAGCTTGCAACATCGAAGGAGCAAGTTTACTACTCACAGCCCGTCACCATGTGTAGCTCCTCTAACGTCTCGATGCTCAGGTCGGACACCGGTTCGCGGGCGCCGAACAAGGTCGTCCTGAGTGTCGCGAGGAAGCCAGTATCCTTGTGGCGGTGGCCGTTCGAGCCCCTGTTGCCTGTCTCATTCTCCCCTGACGGCCTCTTGCTCCCGTCCTTTGGTTGACTGCTGTGGTTGCCAATGGCACCGACCCATGCATCCAGGAAAAGGTGGGCATTAATGAGAACTGTGAAGCAGATCGAGAGACAGACAGACTGATACATAGGTCGAAATACGAAATGCATGGGGGGTGTAAAAGTCGAACAAGAATCGCCTCCTGCGTGGCGCAACACTCTGACAATGGGTTCTCTCTGGAATGGGTGCATGCTTGGAAGTAAATCAGTGTCAACCGAAGAACGTGTTTGCTGGTACCTGTTATACCTCGGCGAGCTTCCCCGGCCTACTGCGTAGAGGCTGCTATCCAAACTGGTTCACAAGCCCCGGGTCCTCATTGGGCGTACTTGTTTGCACGTGAAATAATCGTGCCGAGTCGGGTGAACATGGCATCTACTGTACATAAAACGGTTTCATCATCTTGAGACTATATGGAGAGAACTCCACACAAGGGGGACGGTTGTGCTACAGCAGTAGTGCACGACGTATGATGCTATACTGTAGAGTGTGTGAGTTTGTGGGTTACAGGCTCCACCAGACAGCTTTGCCAGCCGTACAGCGGTAACACCGCGGATACGCGCCTGAAGCACGGAGCCCAGCCGTACGGCGCACTGGACACGTTGGGAGTGATTATGTACAGCAGCGGTACACACCTCGTGACAAAGGCGATGGCGAGTCCGACCGTGGCTCTCGAAACTAAACAAAAACAAGGCAATCGCGGCGTACCTGAGTCCACGGATGCCCTCTTCGAGCTTCCTCGCGTCGTCCACCCCGGAGCGGTTGATCCCGTAGGTGTCACCGCCTCGATGACGACGACTTGTCGAGGGCGCATCGCGTGCGTCTCTGTGGTGGTCGTATGACGCGAGAAAACGTCCACTCGCCTGGAAAGAAGCCAAACCACTCTTCGTGGGCTTCGCCGAGCCTTCCCTATTGTTCATGCTGTTGTTGTCGTTGTTCTCGCCGGAGAACGCACGGACTTGATCTTCGGAGTAGGACCGAGTTGACGATCCATCACCGCCGCTGCGGCTGCTACTGCGGGACCTCCGAGCCAGCATGCTCTGCTTCTTTCCTCAACTACTGCCAGCAAAATGTGCTTACACATCAACGAAGAAGCTCCTCGTGTGTTGTGAGGATGCACTGCCCTGACTGCAACAAGGTGATCCGTGCCTGTGCCAGAGTATTCAGCCCAAAACGGGGCAGGCAATCGACACGCGTAAGATACTACTGCTGTATTTTAGATATGTATCTGTGTGTTGCGCAAGACGCGTTCTCCTGTGGATCTGTGCAATGTAGACTAATACTTCTTTGTTTGGATCTCGAATCCTGCGACAGCGGTCAACATACCGCTGCCGCTGCTGACTCAACAAGCATGTGCAACGATTCCGGCTCCAACAGCTCCTCGGTTGCAGGTGCTCTCTCGTTCTCTAGGGCAAGTGGCCTACCCTACCTTCGGTACGTCGGATGAACCATTATTTGTATGATGTGTCCATTACATCATGCGTGAGGCAGCAGGTGTCAACGGACGTCGACGCACTGCTTTCCGGTCAGCTTTCGGTGCTATTTGTTTGCCGCACTTGCGACTGGAGTTTTGGTTTTTCCGTTCGTACATACATAGTCGCGGCTGCTTGGCGTTGGATTTACGTAGCGAAAACATCCTGATGAAGTAAGCGTGAAAGCCTGTGCCTGTGCACCTACTGTGCGCATTGTGGTACACCATGGAGTGTAGGTTCATCACTTGTGAGCTTGGTTGGTTGTGATACAGCTGGATGCGGGAGAACAATCAGGCAAGGTTTTGAATTAACCCGGGGATCAAGCAGTCAGAGGCTCAATCCCACCATCTTTCCGACAATTCCCTCGCTTCGCTGCGCGTGGATGGCTTATCGAGCTACACAAACGTACGTCCTAGGCCACTCGCATGTAGCACTACGACTACTATACTTACTGCTGTGCGATCTCGTCTTGAGACACAACCAACAGACAAAGGAAGGCGGGTGGGGCGGACCGTCATTTTTCCCTACATTTTGAACAGGGGGAGCCGCAGGTGGGATAAAAAAATACGGGGGGGCAGATGCACTCTTCCAGCTTCCAGGCTTCCGATTTTTTTCGTCAAAGACTCCCTCTCTTCATCCCTGGATTGTACACGTTGAGAAGAGAGAGCCGCAGGCCTCGCCTAAGCCAAAATAGGCGCGGGTGCTACGCGGGGTTAGGCGGACGCCCTAGAACGCCCTTGACCGCCGGAGCCCTGCCCGCCGGCGCGCCCTTGGAGAAAAGGGCAGGAGAGCCGAGGAAGATCAGCCGAACATTCTCATATTTTGTTTGCTGTTCGGCGACAAACAACAAGCTGCTGTGGGTGTGCCTGTCCTGTCTGTGTTTGCCTCTGACATAGCAGCCCCTTGGGGCGTGCGAGGACCCTTTCAACGGGGAGGGAGGAAGGAGGGATCCGTGGCCGTTTACTAGGTGAGCGAGTTGGGGTCAGTTCCAACGGATTCCGCGCACGCACATGCGCGCCGGCGCGCGGGGCGGTTCTGTGGTAGACATTTCGTTCTTTCGAATGTCAGATCACGATCACGTACACAGAGGACCTGTGATGTGTGATGTGATTTGCCCTTGTTGTCTTGTCCTCTCTCCGGGCGGTAGTCAAGAGGAGCGTGTACCTTGGACACGAGAGTGATGATTGCACATGAGGTTGATGGCTCGCACATCCTCTGCGATCACTGCCACCCCTTTGCGAAATGCTTGGTGGCAGCTCGAAAAACCGTAGCGGACGACGATGGACACATCGCCATCCACCGACCGAACAGGGAACGGACAAGAAAGGCGGGTTGTTTTCCCACTCTCCGCCTCCCGAACTGTTTTTTGTTCATAGCAATTTTTTGGCGTGTGTGTGTGTGTGTTTTGTGTGACGCAAAAACCGGGCAGCACCGTCCGGGGCTCTAGGCGATTTACCCCCCATCTCTCTTCCCTAATCCCATTGCAGGGGTGGCTGGCACACACGTGATGTGCGTGCTCTTGCACATTCCCGGTTTTAGACAAGGTGCACCTCTTGGTTGGGTAGGTAGGTACTTTGCCAGGAGGGGCGCGGGGGGGCACTTTGGTTCCTCATGCGATATACGCGCGTTGTTGATGCTGCTTGTCCGGCTCTCTCAGAATCGAATCGGGAGTCACACATCAACACGCGGCCAACATGCACCTATCGGCAGCGACACACACGCCTAAATAGTGCCACCATGTCCACGTGAACCATTCGTTTGCCATCGATTTAACCTTCCCCCGTGCCCCGGGTCTCCGCCGCTGCTGCTCTACCCGGCCGGAAAAAGAAGTGGATTGGTTGTGGACCCTGCGCGCTCTTGCTGTGAGATTTTGGAGAAGCTTTCGGGTTGGGAGGGGCGCGAGAAACGAGAGGGAAGGAGGGCACCGAAATAGTAGAGCACACACCCAGGGAAGGTTCTCCGGAATAGAAAAGGGGCGGCCATGTCAACGCCAGCCCCGGGAGAGACGCCGGCTCCTGTGACGATAGCCCCGGGAGAAACGCCGTCTCCTGTGACGCCGGACGCACCAACGGTAAGAGAGCAAAAAATGATGAAAAGAGAGACGGAAAATGCTATTTACCTGTCACACAGCAAACGCCTTGTATCATAGACTCTTCTGCATGAAGGCGAGGGAGGCATTCCTTCCTCTGTTGTAGTATTGGTGGTGAGCGGGCGACTTCTTATTGTCTTTGATTTATGTAGTGCAACCCCCAGAGAAAAGAGGTACTGCTGCTGTACTGCTGTACCGGTAAAAAGTTGGAGCACTGCGGTGCCGTGCGAAATACTCCAAAATATCAAAATATAACCACGTAGAAAGCATTCAGTGATGAGATTAACAACGGCAGGCCGCTATAGAGAAATACAACAAAAACAACAGCGTATCAGACGTACTCCTTGTTAGGAATCCAAGCAGAGCCTCGCACACAGACATCCCGATGGGGACAACTGGGCATACCGTTGGTTTTTGAAACTCATCCACTTGCCTCAAACGTGTTCCTTATATCTGCCTGCGGTTTAGAACCAGGAACGCTCTTTTCTCCTTTTTCTTTCACTGCTGTCGTGCGTTAATTTGTTCACTTACTGTTGTACCTGGTACAACTTATTCGGCAGGGGAAGCGCAGATGGTTGCATGCAGTAGCGCGGCCGTAATATATAACAGTACAGATGTTTTTGTACTTAAATAGCACCAGCTGGCATCACTGGTATAAATCATCGGTGTATAGACTTAAAAAGACTCGAAATAAGTCCAGTACCCAGCCGGTTTCCCTCCACTCACTGAAAAGACTCCACCACATCCCGTTCGACTGCTGTGGGTATATCTCGAATGGGTACTCTTTCTGTATGTGTTTTTATTATTCCTTAAATACAACAAACGCCCAGTCGACCATGTGTCAACTCCTAATTACCGTATGTACAATAGTACAAACTACGTTTTGTGGAAGGTTTCCAGAATAACGAGTCACTAAATAGATAGGTCTTGCATCAACAGTAATGCCAACATGTGGGAGCCTGTAGAGGTACATAGCTCATGTTGACTTGTCTGCTGCGAAGAGTGGTTTACTTTCTAAAAAAGCAGTCGTTGCGTGGATGTATCGATTGTATTTTATTCCTTCGAAAAGGAAGGGGACGGGCGCGTACGAAACGTACGCACACAGCAGTATGCATACTAATCGTATAGTAGGCTGGGACCGGATTCTTCGATGCATTTTTCGTGTGTCAAATATTGAAGCACACCTGTTTCCGAGCGAGTTTGATTGTTCTCTGTCCGGGCCCAATACGTTTGCCCCTTTTTTGGTTTTGGGTTGCAACTTGCACCCTCGGGTTTCTCAAGAGCTCGAGCCTTGTACCTTTAAGAGTTCCGACGGTGTATGCCTTCATTTGCATTTGTGTACCCGAGAAGGATTTGATTTACAGCATACCAACCCAGTCCCTTCGTGAGCTTGATTTAGTCGATGCACACCTGTTGAACTATTGGGGCCGAGGTTTTAAACGGGCCCCGCAACCCCAGATCGTACATGCCTTCTCTATCTTTTAGGTACTCCATTTATTTCAGTCACGTATGCCTACCAGGCCCTAGGGAAAGCCTTATTGGCGAAGCTACAGGGGTAAGGGTATCTTCTTCCGTCACCCGCCTGAAGCGCTTCATCCAGTTGGCACGCAGGACAACGCGGAGAAAGTTTTCCGTGCATAGCCAGACATGAAGTTGTTGCCTTACTTTTTTCAGAACAGCAGTACAAAAGAAGTTAGCCTCGTGGTGCTCGTGTATTAGGGAGCAACAGTTTTTTCAAGAGCGCGGCACGCCGCAGCGGGTATACCTCCACCCAACAGTAGCAACGGGCGTGGCGAAGCTGCTCCCTGTCCGGGGCCGAATCGCCTTCGAAGCGTGCTGTGTGTTCATATCTTGTCCTCAAAGGTGCAAGAACACGGTCAGTTTGTTTTGTGATGGGCGTGGGCGGTGGTTCCATTTCTCCCCTTAATGGCCCTGCGCACGTGCCAGCCTTGCGCATTTGGCGATCTTCGTCGAGTAGCGGTATCTGTCCGTGTTTAGGGTGGGTGGCCGTTTCAGAGGAGAGGTCCCTGTTTAAGGCCGCCGTTTGCCACGGTGGAAAACACCGGCCTTGTACAGGGCACCCTGCCTTTTTCAGAGCATGAGACAATTTGAATACTCCATCCGTGCCAAGCGACTTTACACCGACCTTTTGTAGGCGGGCATAAACAGGAAACCCCTACTAGTTTGTTTTGTTGCTCAGCTGCTTCCGGTCATGCGCGTGCATTGCTTTTGGGCAAAAAGCACCCTGCCGCCCCCGTCATGGACGATCGTGATACCTAGCGATGCAGAAACCAGGCCAGGCACACAGCAGTTTCGCGGCGCTATCGGGAACTACCCGACATGTTGGTTGGTGCCGTTAGCTTGGGTTTGATTTTGAGAGACTTCGGTTGGGGAGTGTAGTTGTCCCTCTCCGCCCGTGATCGGGTATACGCATTGTGGTGCTGGTCCTTGTAACTGCCTGTAGCTGCCAGCACAA